ATTAACATTCGTATCAAATTAAAATCAACATTCGTATCAAAAATCCAACCAGTCTCACAGTCATAATATAAATCATTAACATTCGTATCAAATTAAAATCAAACTATCTATAGAAACAAGCTGTCATGGCAAGCTGTCATAGAGAGAGAGAATAAAAGAAATAATATCCGGTATTCGCGCATTCTTAGGAGTTTTATCTATCCCCCCCTCCGCCAAGTTAGGAACGACGCCGAAGAAAATAATGTAGGACCGGATTAGTATTACTCTAAAGAAGTATTAAACAAGACGACATTCAAACTTTTCTGTAATTTCGTTAACTGAAATTAAGATCACTTACCCTATGCTTTCTAGACTCAATATGGACCAAATTCATGTTGTTGTCCTCAAAAGCTCTAAAATTTTTGGAACAATATTACTCGATATTCAGAATTCAGGTTGCATATATGATCAATTAAACAGTTCGTTTTCTCTAATTTGTCGAGATTCTCATATTGTCGAGACACTTTCGACAAAAGAGAATCTCTGAACCCGATTGGTTATTCATCTTCTCAAGAATTTTAAGTGTAATTGGTTGATGTAAAGTCTTCCTACTTCTAAACATGTAAAGCTATTTATATATAATGAGTGCCCCAAATATAATAATTCAAAATTTTATTTTAAATTTATAACTTTGTAAGGTTTTGATTTTTTTACATGTTAACATGTAAATTATATCCTTGAAATATTGTTTTTACCTAATAGATTGTCAATTTGATCAAGACGACATTCTTTCCAAGTAGTTAATAGTTATTACCAAGATCAAATAAATTGTCAAGTACAATAGATGGCAACGAAGTATGCGTTTACTCTCAGTTAGGGTTGTTCATCGTTTTTGAAAATGATCGTTAATCGATTGTTTTTTGTTTCGTTTTTATCGTTTCCAAAAACTATTGTAGCAACCCACTGGTTTTGAACATTTAGAAAACGAATAACGATTGTTTTTGAAAACGATCGTTTTTATAAAAACGATAAGCGACCGTTTTTTACACAGGTTTTCGACATTTATGAAGACGAGTATGAATGTCGTCTTACATTTAATTAAATCGAATGTTGTCTTACATGCAGGTATAAAGTTGTGGGGAAGCTCTTCTTATTTTTTTCTTTAAAACTACTCAATGATCTGTACCGATGCTCTTCAGGTCGGTTTCCTCTCTCCTCCTCTCTTCATTCACTATCGTTAACAAAGGGTTGGCTTTAACGATCGTTAACAAAGGTTCATCATCATTAACGATGGGTTGTTGTTACGATTTTTAACGAAACGACTAACTATAAAAAACTTGCGTTTTTAAAAAAGATCGTTTTTAAAACGATTGTTTTTGAAACTATTTCTTTTAAATAAGTATCGTTTTTAAAACGATCGTTTTTTTTTAGTTTTTTTCGTCGTCGTTTTCATAACGAAACGATTATTTTTCAAAAAAAATTAAAACAATCCATTCATACTCTCAGTACAGCTGTATTTACGTCACAAGTGTCCACTCAATTCCTGTGTCCGAAAAATGTTTAAATAAAAATGATAATTTTAGACTTAAGTGCTTATCTTAAAGTGAAATTAGCGCAATTTTATGCGTACTCCGCTCAGATTCAGAGATGAGGTTGAGGGGTTTTAGTATCTGATCATACTCTAAATATTACACCATGCTTTAAATACTACACAACAAATGACAGTAGATATACCTACGCGATGTAATTTTAGTTGCCTCTCTATTTTATAGTTTTTAGGATATCTGTAAATTTTAACGAATTCCTAAAAAGACGATATTTTTCTAAGCTGAATCTAGGAAATTAACTTGTTGAACAAAATGTCGTTTTTATTTTTATATTTAACACTTGTGACGTCGTGCATAATTTTTCGATTTTTCTGTTGGCATCTATTGTACTTGACAATCTATTTGTACTGAACCAAGTTCAATTGATCAGCTTGAAAAAAAACTTGCCCAGCTATTTTTTAAATGATTGCAACGCCTTCGTGTTTGGTTTTAGAATACTAACTCAGTTAAACTCTTTTAAAGTCCTGGCGGAATTTTTCTAAAACGAACTTGTAACTTTTTAATTATTCTAAACAGATTTTTTCTTAAATAACTTTTTGTTCGATATTAAAAAATCGTTATTATTATTAAACAGCTTCTGGTTTGTTTCAGGGCTCTCTCGTTTAAAGCTGAAGCCTAGTAATCCCTTGCAAATGCAAAAATTAAGCGTTTTTAGAACTGAAGCTAAGCTAATTAAAAAAATTCTTTTTGTTTAAGCCTAAGACAAAAAACAAGTATCATGAAAAATAGCTTAAGCAAAATATGTTATAGAAAGCCGTCCCTTTCAACCATGGTTTTTGTTATAAATCATGTTTAACGCATTTTCACAATTACTTCATTTTAGGAATTTTAGAACTAAAAGCACTTTGCAAAACTTTGGATTACTGTGTATATTATTGCGTATTTTCATAACTTTACTTTACAACAATATCAATTCAACAATTCGATTAAATTACCTTATAGCTCTGGATAACCCCACCATTCCACAGCTTAGGGAGAAAATAACAGCTGTCTAAACCTCAATGATAATAATGACAATAAATAAAGAATATTTGTTAGATAAATATGCACTTTTTCATTAATAACATTTAATGGTTCAACAGAAGAAATGAAAACAAAGGGACTAAAAAGTGAGAATTCGTCACAAATTTCTCATCCTTGTTTATTCGAAACCTGATGCCGAAGACCTATGATATTTTAAACTATGACTCATGTTATACACATTTAAAGTTTAACTATATAAAGTATGTTCGCCATTATGTTGCAAAGATAGAAGGATGATAAAATTAGAGCTTGCAATGCTTGTTTTTTTTCTAAATTTATATTATGCATATTTCCTTAAGAACACCGTCTTGATTTCTAAGTAAGCAAATATTTTTTAATGTAAACATGAAAATAAGATATAGAAAATTTAAATAATACATATATCAACAAAAATAAATTCTGGGGGATGGTAAGCTGTATAACTACAAAAAGGTCATCTATTTCTATTTTTCCATTTTTTCTTTTATTTGGGAGATTTAAAAACTGTAATTTTGATAAATGGGATCCGTATTTCTTTTTAAATGGCGAATGAGCAAGGGCTAATTCAAAATTTGTTATTCCTAAAGTGCACTATCCCGCCCTGTTTAAATGCTGCAACACGTTCCTGCTCCGCTTCCTCAGCAATACTCTGCCACACCCATTTCTCTCCTCGCCTAATAGCAAACTTTGTTATGTACTTTGTTATGTACTTCATTCCAATTTATGTTCTTTCAATATATATTTCTGTAAGAAAGTAATTCATTGCAAAGATGTCAGAAATTTTGGATTGCACGTTTTTCTTTCCTTATTGATACTTTAGATATTTATGGTAAATAAGTATTTAGTTTATAGTAGTTACTCTTTAAATTCTTTAAACTATCGAACGAACTTGAAAAAACTATAGTTTTTTTTTCATTGAACGAACGATTTTTCAAAGCAACTTTTTAAAAGCAGTAGTTTTTTACTGAACGACCGATTTTTTAACCCTATCTCTGCTGACCCCCCCCCCCAGCAGGAATAGTGTTAAATAAACTTTTAAAAAAAATTTAACTGAAAAAAAAACAATTTTATCGAAAAAAAACTATTTTACTAAACGAAAGATTTGGTTTAACGCTTAAAAAAACTAGCGAAATGGGTCGTTCATGAACAATGAACGAACGAAATGAAAAAAAACGAACGAAATGAAAAAAACGAACGCGCCCTTTCTATCCTTTAACTCTAATCATAACATAATCTCTATTGTGAACAGAGTTTCATATGTTTGACATTATTAATTCTTTCAGTTATGAAGGAAATATTGAAAGACAGTTTTTGTTACTTTGTAAATACAAAATATCTTGTCAGCAGCTTGTAGAAAGGACAAAGAAAGGTTTTAAAGCAGAAAAATTATCCATATAAAATAAAATATAGTTGTAATAAGTTAAAAATTAGTTTGTTAGCCTTGATTCATAAATCTTTCTGAGGTTCAATGGTCCCTTCTATAAGCACCAAAGCCCTTTTTAAACTTTGTGCCCCCCCCCCCCATCTTTGTTTGGGTCTGATTGACCTTGCTTTGTTCTTGCTGTACATAAACAACCTTTTGAAAGAATTAGTGAATTGGGAATTCAAATCTTACTTTACACACTGTTTTTGTAAATCACTAGAATAAAACATTAAAGAAATGTATATTAACTTACTACCTGTGAAGGTAAAGGGCGACCATACCCTTGCCTGTTGCATTCATTCTATCTAAATAAAAGATCAACATACTTATTACAGGGGACTGAAGACGTAATTTCAAGTTATCCTCCATTTACTGGGTTGCAAGTCTGATTAACAAACCACGACTTTTAAAACCTTGGTCTAATCATGGACAAATGCGATATCCTAGTTTTACGACATGAAAAATAATATTATCAATCCTGGTTTCTCTTTAAAATTGATGACCCACAAATTTATGCAGAATGGAAGAAAGTTAAAGATTCACTGACATATGAAAAGGGGGCAACCGGCAAAATCAAATTTAAGATCAACGATGAATCTTCACTGCTACCGAGATAATGGTTTTAAGTCACTCATGAATTTACGTTTACAACTTACAGTCTATACGACATTTATTTGCTCACTTCTGGAACATATTTATATGTTGATATAAAGGGTGTTGGAAAAAAACCAAACACTTTTATGTCTCACAGGCTTAATTATTATCCGATCATAATAAAATCAATATCCCAGTGCATCTCTAGGATGTTAGAACTACATGGTTCAACTATTATCGAATACTATCTATTGCAGAAAATCCAATTTGTCGTAAACTTATATAATTTCAAACTTATATAATTTAATCTAACAGAGCTGAAAACTTTAGAATGTAATATCCTTAATCCCGATCTGTTAATTAATCTGTAGATTAAATTCATGAGGACAACAAGCAATATTTAATCTGGAGATTAAGAAAAAGAGTGGATTAAGCATTAATCCCGATATCCACCATTCAAAAGTTCCCAGCTCAGAACTCATAGTTTGAAATATCAAAGGTATACGACATTGGAATCTAAAGATATAGGGATTAGAAAATCAGAGTTTGTTGCAAAGACTCAATTCCTTTCAAAAACAGGGATATTCAAAATATCTCATCCAATTAAGTTTTAAAAAAACATGCAGTACCGTCTCTGAATTTACCAGTTTCACGCGTTCAATTCATTAGTTAACCTTTATTTATCCAGATTATGCTCTCTGTTTCAATTTGTTCTAGAAGGTTTAGGACTGAATTATGACAAGGTTTACATAGATCTAAAGACGAACAAGCTGATTAGCTAGACTACAACTTCTTTGTGGTACACCACAAGTATTAGTCCTCAAAGAAGATTTGATATTATCTATTTGCACTAATTGTTTTCTATTACTTTAGTAATTTTTAGCTAAATGTTAGATATTCCTTTAAAATCATAATGCTCCAGTTTAAAAAAATGATTCAAAAACACAATTCAAATGCTTTTTTTTTAAATAAAAGAAAGTATATTCTGGGGTTTCCTTATTTAATCCGTTGTAAACTCTGCTAAGAAATTGCATAACAGACTGTTCTGTTCTATGACCTGGTCTGAATCCATATTGATGTTCATAAAATACATGATATTTAATTAAATTACGAAACATTTGCTGAGGAACAATTTTTTCAAGGAGTTTTGAAAAGAAAGATAGTAGACTGTTAGGACGATAATAAAGAAAAATTAATAAATAAAGTTTTTTCCCCTGATTTAAAATTGGCACAATTTCGCACATTTATAACTTGTAGGAATATAGCCGGGTTTTTAAAACAAATTAAAATACACAATTGGATTAATGATGCTCTGAATGATATCCTTTGCATTTTAGAGAATATATTGTGAACCCAATCAACAATGATGATAACAACAATGATGATAACAATGAGACTAACAGTGAGGATAACAATGATGATAACATAACAGATACTCTAGGAGTATCTAAGAGTATTTAATATTATTCTAAATGGAACCAACCATATTTGAGCCGCAGCTCAAATTGTTTAAATTCGGCCTCTGGTATATTTTATATGAGTGATAATAATTACGATGAAATAATAGTGCAATTTTTTAATTTGTTATCATTGGTAGCGTTGCTATTTGCTAGAAGTTCAACAAGTGACTGGGCCCATTAGATTCCCCTTTTCTCTCTTTGCTATCAGTTTATTACCTCAATTCCCGCACTCTCCAGTCAGATTCTCCACATACAGGGGTGTTCACAGTGGATTCTAGGAAAAGGATTAGAAACCGTTTCTTCTTCTAGAAAAAAATCTCTATCAAACTATTATCAACACACCTTCTACTTTCTTTTTGCTTTAACATATTTTTCTAATAAATAGTTCAGACTGGCTTATGTTAAAACTATTGTGCATGGTAACTTTAAATTTTTTGTAGTATAAAAATAGCCAACTTCTTTAGCATCCAAATGTTTTTCTAAAGAGAAATATATAAGCATTTCGACAATCCTTTATATTTTCATTTTCTTTTTTGTCAAGATAACGAATCCAATAAAAGACTGTTATTCTTCATTTTTATTGGATTTGAAGATACTTTCACAGGAAGGTAGATAGGATAGATAGTTAGATAGATAGTTAGCGGTGTAAAGAAGATAAAAAGAATTTGCAAGCAACCAAATTCTTTTTGATTTTTTACCGTGTAAATACATCAATGTTTTTATTGAAAGCATGACCAGAACTGAAACTTCAAATACGAATAAGATGGAGCTTATAAATTTTCGTTTTTTCTCAACCCTTTTTTCTTCACGCTTATTTACCCTCTCTTTTCTACCCCCCCCCCCTTTTCCATGTTTTACCTGTCTTTTCTTTCCACATACACTTTTTAACTTTAAAACTATTTTCAACCTGTTCCGTATTATACGTTTCTTTAAGCAACGTAACTTTTATCCCAATTCCCCCCCCCCCCTTCTCTTTGCTTCCCTTTACATATCCTTCCTGGCCTCCACTGTACTCCACTACCATGCCCTAATCTCCTTCAAGATACCAAGTTACCAACGATATACATACATATTAAACAACAAGGGGAGGGCGAGGGGGGTAATACATAATAGGGCGTCGCTAAAGGGGGACGATCGCTTTTGAAATTAACAAAATTAATTTTCCGTTAATGGCCACATCGTTCCAAAAAAACGCACAGTTAAAACGTTCTTTAAGAAACTCTCTTCAGAATCATAATATCTTCATCTTTTGATATATTTAATCATTTTTTTGTGACTATACATGAATGCATACGTGCAAAATTTTTTCAAAATTATGTTTTTCTCCATCGTATAAAATTTTGCACATCAAAGAAAATCATAACTTTGAAGAAAAACTATATTTGCGCAAATTTTCATTTATTTTACATGAACTAGTCATCAGGCAAAAACAAATTTAATCAGTTTTCTTAAGTTGCAACACTTTAATTTTTCCTTGTTTTTAAAAGTTACCGTTTGTTAACGATCTCAATTTTAGTAACGGCGTTAACGAAAGATATATCAAAACTCGTTAACGATTATTTAATGAAAAATTTGTTGGACAAATATGAAAAAAACGTAAAAAATTAAAACTTGTAAAAAAACATCATGTACATAAAAAAATATTTTCTGTAAGTTTACTGCATTTTTAAGTTAAAAAATTAACAGAAGTTTATTTTGAATCACATTCGAAAATTTTTGAAACTTGCGTTCCTGAACGAAATGTTGCCCAGCCAAAAAAAGTCGATACGTCTAGAGTTTTTATTAATGTCGACATGTGACAGATTATTATTAAACTTCCAAAAAACTTACAAGTAAAACAAGATACAGACTTGACATTTAACTGATGAGACATACGACAATTGCAAAATTTGAAATAAAAAAAACATTTCCATAAAAAAAGATTTTCATCAAAATTATAATTTTCTTAATGTTTGGAATGCAATTTTTTTTAAAATGATTTCCTTCATGTGTGGAATGATAATTTAATTTTTAAAAATTCGGAATTTTTTGGAAGTTTAATAATTTGTGAGACACTTAATAGATGCAACATTTGACAAGTAAGACAATTATCAGATATGACATTTAACACATGATGCAACACATCACATATGACATAAAAAAGTTCCCATAAAAACAAATGTTCTTTAAAATTATGATTTTGTTTATGCATGGAATGGAAATTTAATCTTCTTTACTTCGGAATTTTTTGGACATTTTTAAGACATTTTATAGATCCGACATTTGACTTATGCAACATTTGACATTGATCGAATTTTCTATTCACAAGGAAAATATTGCATTTGACATTAATACAGTAGGAAATTCTATCTTCATTCAAGTGAAAATTTGACATAAAAAGGACTGACATTCATACAATAAATTGAAAAATAAAAATTTCTGCAGAAATAATTTTCTTAAAATCATGATTTTTTATGTACTAAATGCAAATTTGACAAATGCTACTTATAACATTTGCAACATTTTTATTAATGAGACATTTGACAAATAATACAATTAACCGATATGACATTTGACAGATGAGACATGACACATGCGACACATGACATAGAGACAGACATAAAGACAAAAAGAAATATTCCAGTAAATAAAATGTTCTTAAAAATTCTGATTTTCTTTATTTATGGAATGCAAATTTCATTAAAATAATTTCGGATTTTATTTGTAAATTTCATAATGAACTGTGCAAACTGTGGAAATAATGCAAATAAAAACATTGCTTTTAAAAAGTGCAGGACTTGAAGGAAAACAGAGTAAAAACTATAACACGTGCGGGTGTTTCGCTACTTAGCGATTTCCCTAAAGACCTAATATATACCGTGTGGTATTTCTCAGGACCGGATCGTAAGACTCCCTTCTCTCAACGCTCTTCATAATAAAAGGATGATAGTAAGGTTCCGAACGTTTATTTCTCTGAGCCTTCAATCTAAATAAGTTTAATAAACCCACAGAAAAAGCTTTGAGTGATAATCATACAAATACAACAAATAATTCACTCAGGCATTAAAAAACTGTGGCTAGGAACCAACAAACACATATATAAATATCAATCATACTATAATCAAAACGATAAGCATAAATATATATAAAAATAGTTACCACAATGATCCCAGAATTCTGGACACGGCTAAACTTGCAAAACGAATAAACATATACTGATATAAATTATTTACTACTCCGCGAGAAATCTTGCGCCTGCGCAGTCAGACTGTAAACAGTTCCTAAACTAGTTCTTTCACAATACATTCCGTACAGATCTTCAGGGAGAACTCAGAAATACACAGGGGTGACAAGCAGACTTTACACACGCAGCATGGCTCGCGTAACAGCGGGTTAGTGTTTCGTTTTTCTGGCGTTTGAAAATTAACAATACACAAATTAGTGGTATTCTCAATATTGATAGGTACAGAGTTGGAAAATAGTATTACGAAATTGCATTCCAATTATGAAGAAGAACATAATTTAAAAAAAAAATTTTACTTGTCAAATATCTTATCAATAAAATTGACTCTGTCAAAACCAAATTAAGAAATTTACAAAAAAAATCCAAAATTCTTTTTAATTAATTTTGCATAATCTGTCAAATGTCTAGAAAATTAAGAAATTGTAAATTGATTTAATTGTCAAATGTCTTATCCTTAAAATTTGTCGCACATGCCATAAGTCGTATCTGTCAAATCTGTATATTTTTTAATCTGTCAAATGTCAAAGAAACTGTGAAGTTTATAAAAAAATCCAAATGAATTTTTTAATTAAATTTGCATTTCAAACATGAAAAAAATTACTTTAAATAACAAAATTTAGCGGGAAATTTCAAAGTTTTTCACTTGAAAGGAAGATACAATTTTCTTCAAAATTAATAAAAAATACGAAATTTTCCTTAAAAATATTAAAATTTGCATCTTTAAAATTGTCGAAAATGTCATAAGTTGCATTTAACAAATGTCTAAGAAATTAAGAAATTTACAAAAAAAAATTCAAAATATTTTTTATTAAATTTGCATTTTATACACACATAAAAACATAATTATGAAGAAATTATTTGGCAGGAATTTTATTTTTAAATTTATCATCCTAAGGTATTATAAATTAAGTTTTTCAGTTAAATAAGATACAATTTTCTGCTGAAACAATGACAAAAAAGAAGATTTTCTTGTGAATAATTTCATTCATAAAGAAAATCATAATTTTGAAAAAAAAACATTTTTTACGGAAATAAAACTGTCACAAATGTCCTAAGTCCTGTCGAATGGCTAAGAAATTATGAAATTTACAACAAAAAATCGTAAGCATTTTTTAATAAAACTTGCATTTTACACATAATTTTGAAGAAATTTTTTGCGGGAATTTTTATTCTTTACTTCAATATTCAAGTTTTTCACTTGAAAAACTTTTACGGAAGCGTTTTTTTTGTCAAATGTTGCATGCTTTACGCATAAAGAAGTTTTCAATTAAATTGCATTTTTTACATAAAAAAACATAATTTAAAAAAAAAATTGGCAGTAATTTTTATTTTGCAATTTAATATACAAAGATGTTTTATATTAAGTTTTTCACTTTAATGAAGACATATTTTTTTCCTACTGAATTAATAACAAAAAAAGAAGACTTCCTTGTTAATAATCAAATTTGCATTCCATACATTAAGAAATACAAGATTTTGAAGAAAGAAAAATAGTGTTTTATTTGTCAAATGTCTCATCAATAAAAATGTTGCAAATGTCATAAGTCACATCTGTCTAAGAAATTATGAACTTTACAAAAAATATAACCAAATTCTTTATTTTTGTCAATTTTGCATTTCATACATAAAGAATAACATATTTTTGAAAAAAATGTTGAGGGATTTTTTGTTATTTAATTTAATATTTGAATGTTTTGTTTGTCAAGTTTTTTACTTGAAAGAAGATACGATTTTCTACTAAATTAATGAAAAATAAGAAGTTTTTAATGTTAATAATTAAATCTACATTCCAAACAAAAAGAAAGTCATAATTTTGAAGAAAGTTTTTTTCATGGGAGTGCTTTTTTATGTCATATGTTGCATGCTTCATATGACATATATGAATATTTAACTTGTCTAATGTCTCATTCATTAAGTTGTCGCACATGTCATCAGCACCATCTGTCAAATTATGAAATTCAAAATTTTTTTGCAGGAATTTAATTTTTTTAGTTGACATATCAGGTGTTGTTAAATGATGTCTTATTCATAAAATTGTAGAAAATGTCAAAATTCGCAAGTGTCTAAGAAATAACAATAATTATAATCAAATTTCACTTCCATACATATAGAAAATCATAATTGTGAAGAACTTTTTTTTATAGTGTTATTTATGTCATATGTCATATGTCGCATCTGCCAAATGTCATATCTGCAAATTTTTTTACTTGAAAAAATGACTCATCCATAAAATATAGCAAATGTCATAAGTCACATCTGTCAAATGTTAGAGATTATAAAAATTTACAAAAAAATTCGAAATTATTTTGCAAAATTAATTAAAGCAATTCACAGAAATGACATTTGACAGATGCAACATATAATGTAGAAAAAAAAATTATGATTTTCTTAAGGTATAAAATGCAAATTTGGTTAGTCACATTGAAAACTTTCTATGTTACATTAATTCAGTAGAGCATCGTTTTTCTTCAAGTTTGGAATGCAAATTTAATATAATTTCGAATTTTTAATTCGTAAATTCTTTTACGTTTGACGGATACAAAATTTTGACATTTGCGACAATTTTTTTTAATGAAACACATAAACATATATTAAATTAAAAAATAAAATTTCTGCAAAATTTAGTATTTCAAAATTATATTTTTGTTTTTGTATGAAAGGCACATAGATTCAAAAAATGATTTTGAATTTTTTTTGTATATTTCATAATTTTTAAGAAATTTTACAGATGTGTCACATGATCCATGTGACCTATGATATGAGAAAAACCCTTCCGTAAAAAAAACTTAATCTTTGGATATTAAATTAAAAAATAAAAATTCCTGCAACAAAAATTTCCTCAAATTTATGTTTTTCTTTTTGTATAAATTGCAAATTCAATCGAAAATTAATTTGATTTTTTTTTGTAAATTTCCTAATTTCTTAGACATTTGACGGATGCAACTTATGACATTTGCGACATTTGACAACTAAAACAATTTCTTTCTTTCTTCAAAATTTTGATTTTCTTTATATATGGAAGAAAAATTTAAATATTAACAAGGAAATCTTTTTTTTTGTCATTTATTAAGTAGAAAACCGTATCTTCATTTGAATGCAAAACTTAATATAAAGCACCTTCGGATATTAAATTAAAAAAAAAAATTTCAGCAAAATTTTTTTTTTCAAAATTATGATTTTCTTTATGTATAAAATGCAAATTTAATTTCAAAATAATGTCGGATTTTTCAGTAAATTTCAAAATTTCTTAGACATTTGGCAGATGCGAATCTTTACACTTTTATAACTCATTTGACAACACTTTCATACATCAAATTAGAAAATAAAATTCTTGCAAAAAATTTCTTAAAAATTATGTTTTTCTTTTTGTATGAAAAGTAAATTTAATTAAAATTAATTTTGAATTGTTTGTTGTGAATTTAATGTTTTCTTAGACATTTGACAGATGACATAAAAAACTCCTGTAAAAAATCTTAAAAATTAAGAGTTTCTTTTTATTATAAATGCAAATTTGATTATTCACATTAAAAACTTCTTAATTTTCATTAATTCAGTAGAAAATCGTATCTTGACAAACACATTTTTAAATACAGGGACAACTTGAATGTCGTCTTGATTTTTGATATAATTTGCTGCGTTTATTTGTCAATTTAATTTTAGAAGTAAATTTCTAGAGATAATAATCACAAAATTTCCCTTGTGTTGCCATTTCCAAAATGTGGTCTGGCTTTTTTTGTGCTTTCAATATTGCCCGAGATATGAAGAATTTCCTTCAGATTTCGACAATTTTGCTTTTATTTAACGAAATTGAAATCTGAACCAAACTCTTTATATCTCCGGTAATATTGAAAGCACAAAAAACGCAGACCACTTTTTGGAAATGCCAGGGCTAGGAGAATTATGTGATAATTGTTTCCAGAATCATGCATGTTAAAGTAGATAGAAGACTAAATGTCACAAATAAATTCAAATACCAAAGACGACTTTCAAGTCGTCTTCCTATTGTCATGTTTCGTGGGACACCCTGTACTAAATTAATATAATTAAAATTCCCACGAAAAATTTTACAAAAATTATGTTTGGAATGCAAAATTAATTTTTTAAAAAATTTCGGATTTTTTTGTAAATTTTATAATTTCTTAGACATTTGACAGATCATTTGCGACAAATTTTTTTTAAGACATTTGACAAGGAAAATATTTTTTTCTTTCAAAATTTTGATTTTCTTCATGTATTACATGCAAATTTATTTTTTCTGAGACGTTTGACAGATGCAATTTTTACATTTGCGACAATTTTTTGAGTGGGACGTTCGACAGGCCCCAATGGGTGCTGAGACCCCCCCTCTGGATAAAATAATAAAGTTAAGCCCCCGGACTCCTCGGACAAATGATCCAGAATACACCCTTGAGAACAGTGTATGGCCATTTAGAGAGTACAGAGTTAAGAGTAATTGGAATGTAGACCAGTAACTATATTATTTAAAGTCTCCAGTTCTTCCCCTCTGGTCAACCAGAAAAATTGAGTAGCCTGCTTGCCCCCTCCAGTCAACTTAAAATGATTTTGTACTGCCTCCTTAACCTCCGGTAAACCATAAACGATTGAATGCAGCCACCCTCCTTCTCCGGTTAACCAAAATCCTGTATTTACTGCTACCGCCAACCTGGTTTGTCCACGTGTGCTCCAAGCTGGCCTGCCGGCATCAAATTAGTCTAGTTTAGTCTGTTAGAATTCTCCAGCGAAATTTGATTTTTAATTTGCAGATAATTGGTGGCAAATAAAGTTATAAACTGCATCTTTTGTTCTTGGGGGGGGGATCTTTACTTACAATTTCGGTCCACCCTATTAGCTAGTTTGTTATTTTCACATTTACGGGGCACCCTGTCAACACTTTCTGTTTCCGGTTTTGAGAGAATGCCGCGAATCCTTCCCAAGTCCGGATTTCCCGGGAATTTATCAAGAAAATTGATCAATATACGCAGTAGTTAATAATTTATATTTAGTGTTGATTATTATGCGAGAAGAGTGTTCTTGGTTGCATGTTATCATTGAGTTGATATAGAAATTCCGGGTGTTTTTCATTTCAATTTAGCCATGATAGCATCATCAAATTATCACGGGTCCATATTTGCGTGTCGAGAGAGAGAGTGTTTAGAACGAATCCAGACTACGGCCACTACATATGTTTAAATTTTGGATTGTAATATATTCCTAGAGAACGATTTTTGCCCCCCCCCCTCCTATCAATTTTGTACATGGATCTTACAGAAAGTGTCTTAACTTAACCTAACCCGTGGCCGCAGCGCTCGGCCCCCTAGCCCATCCTAGCCGCAGCGCTCGGCCCAGAAAGTGTCTTAAGTAACCTAACCCGTGGCCGCAGCGCTCGGCCCCCTAGCCCATCCTAGCCGCAGCGCTCGGCACAGAAAGTGTCTTAACCTAACCATAATTCTAAATGATGCTAAATAAATACTAATTTGGTCATGTACAAAATTGATAGGAGGGGGGGCCTGGGGGGGCAAAATCGTTCACTAGGACAGACCCGACATGGTCGATCCATGGCTGCTTTTAGCTGAGCCAATTCAGGAGCAGTCCAGAACATCGGTTTTTAACTGAGCTAACTCAGAAGCAGTCCGTATAGCAGTGGTCTTTAGCTGAGCCAAGTAGTAGCAGTCCGTAGTGAGATCCGTTCTAAGCAATCTCTCTCCGCCTAGTCTTGTGAGTTAGTCAGAAGCTGGCTGATCCAGGGTTGAGCTATAAGGTTTAATCGCCTAAGATATCAAGGAAGCATATGGAGCGGGGAATTGTCATTTTTCTCAAAGCCTCAGCCCCTCAAAACAAAGAGAAAAATTTGCATTAAACACAAGTTATATTTTTAAAATCAACGATACTTTTTTTTTACAAAATTCGCGAAGTTTTGTTTATTTGGATGTTATATTTACAGATCCAATTTTTAAATGTAAGGTTGAGGACCTGAAATCGATTACATGACGAGTGAAATGGATCAGGTTTTTTTTTTAATACAGAATTTGTTGGCATTTCCTATTATACGAATTTTGGACCCCCCCTCCTATCAATTTCGTACATGGGTATCAAATGTATCACATGGATATTTTTGGTCATATGGCCGCAGCTCCCGGCCCCCTAGCCTTTAATAGCTGCGGCGCTCGGCCCCCCTAGCCCATCCTAGCCTCAGCAGAAATGAGCTTAATCTAACCCTAAAATAGGAAAAAATAAATACGAATCATTTTGCGGAAAAATAAGATTCATGTACAAAAATTGATTGGTGGGGGGTGGGGTCCAAAAATTGTAAACATGGACAAACCCAATTTGTCTGGCACTTGCTCAGTGGATGTTCAACCACTCAATTTTTGCTTAAAAAATAAAGTTGCTCTAAACGTTTTGAGCATCAATATGTTAATTTTTATACCTTTGTCAAAAGTTGGACCCCCCCCTATCAGTTTTGTACATGGATCTTAAACGTAAGAGGATCCTAAATGTAAGACATGTGGCCGCAGTGCTCGGCCCCCTAGCCTGTTCTAGCCGCAGCGCTCACCCCAGAAAGTGTGTTTACCTAACCTATCCCTTAATAAAAGAAACTGTCATAACTTAACCTAACCGGTGGCCGAAGCGCTCGGCCCCCTAGCTTGTCCTAGCCGAAGCGCTCGGCTCAGAAAGTGTCATAACCTAACCTAACCCCAACTAATAAATAGAAAATTTGAGGGCCGAGCGCTGCAGCTAGGCTTTTTAAGTTAAAATTAGGATAATGGCGATATTTTATTGCACTGGCGTACACAGAATAAATTTAGGGAGGGTGGGGCCAAATATGCACAATTTCCCCCAAATCTGTTTTGTCCCCCCCCCCTTTGGAACTCCTAGGGGGTGAGGGCAAAATTTGGGCTGTAAATTTAAAACATTGTGCTTCTTGGATACTTTAAAGGGACTATGGTACACATATAGTCCAATTACCTTGCAAGTACTACTTTATCTCCCCTTCAAACAAAACTAGCAGAAAAAAACAGCAAACTATATTTTTTATGCCCTTCACCCTTTAGTTTCAGATTTGAAAAGTGTGATAGCTCTAAGTACAATGGGGGGGGCTACGTCCCCCCCTTACAGGCCAGGGGTCACTGCCTCTTGCTACCCTGTGTATGCCCGGGACATATTGAATGTGCCTCTGACCCCTTGTAGGGCTCCTTCTTTTAGAGGACTGCTACCCGTGACAATACATATCTAAACTTAACCTGGTGGGGTATTATCACTGGACGGTTGTACTTTTTATCNATAAATAAAAGATGACTGAGTACAAATTAGTTTTATATTTAGCTCGTTGAGCCAGAACCAGAGAAGAATCTCCGGGCTAATATTGAGGATGCTGAGAGTAAGCTTTACAGGCTTGGAGATTTAGGTATTTTTCTTTGAAGTCCCTCATCAATCCATTTTCTTCATAAAACCGAAGGTGTTAATTTGGTTTCAAGGTTGTTCTACGCTAAATTTCAATGGGGTGAAATTACTAGATTCTGTGTGATACCCTATTAACCCGAAAACCTTACTTAAAAATTTAGTTTTTTTAAATAGTTATTAGTTTGATTAAAACCTAAAAATACGTATATTTTCGTTTAAATACCAATTTATTTTGTAAAGTTTTTTTACGTCTTTTTCTGTCTTTTCTTTTCTTAAAATTTTTTTTCAGAGTTTAAAGAGTATATTTAAGTTAGTTAAGTTAGTTTTTGAATACATATTTGTTGTCACAATTGCAAATAAGAATAAGCCTTTTTAAAAAGTATTGCCAATCTATTAATGTTCACTTTCAGTGAATTTAAATGCTAATTGAAAGGATTTATTGTTTCCTGTAAAATCAGAGGATCTCAGGATATGTATCTTTTAAAATCTTTAGAACTTCATTTAGTGTTATAACTTATAAAAAATATTACATAGTCCTAATCTTCACTCACATTTTAATATTTTAAGTCGACGTGATGGATTGCCGTGAAGGAAGAAAGACTTTTGGAGCCTTTTTTGAAGCTAAAATCCAAAGGATTTCTAAGGTAGTTCATCCATGTTTAATACCCAGGGTTAGTTCATGCTGGTTTAGTACCATGGTTAGTTAATCCAGGTTTAGTACCCGTGATTAGTTCATCCTGGTTTAGTACCCATGGTTAGTTCATCCAGGTTTAGTATCCATGGTTAGTTCATCCAGGTTTAGTACCCATGGTTAGTTCATCCAGGTTTAGTACCCATGGTTAGTTCATCCAGGTTTAATACTCATGGTTAGTTCATCCAGGTTTAGTACCCACGGTTAGTTCATCCTGGTTTAATACCCAGGATTGGTTCATGCTGGTTTAGTACCATGGTTAGTTAATCCAGGTTTAGTACCCATGATTAGTTCATCCTGGTTTAGTACCTATGGTTAGTTCATCCAGGTTTAATACCCAGGGTTGGTTCATCCAGGTTTAGTATCCAGGTTTAGTAACCAGGGTTAGTTTATCCAGGGTTAGTTAATCCTGGTTTAATACCCAGGGTTAGTTCATCCAGGTTTAGTACCCATGGTTAGTTCATCCAGGTTTAGTACCCATGGTTAGTTCATCCAAGTTTAGTACCCATGGTTAGTTCATCCAGGTTTAATACTCATGGTTAGTTCATCCAGGTTTAGTACCTAGGGATAGTTTAACCAGGTTTAGTAACCAGGGTTAGTTCCTCCAGGTTTAGTATCCTGGGTTAGTTCATCCAGGTTTAGTACCCATGGTTAGTTTATTCTGGTTTAGTACCCAGGGTTAGTTCATCCAGGTTTAATACTCAGGGTTGGTTCATCCAGGTTTAGTAACCAGGGGTTAGTTCATTCAGGTTAATACCCAGGGTTAGTTCATCCAGGTTTTGTACTCATGGTTAATTTATCCTGGTTTAATACCCATGGTTAGTTCATCCAGGTTTAGTACCCATGGTTAGCTCATCCACGTTTAGTACCCATGGTTAGTTCAACCAGGTTTAGTACCCAGGGTTAGTTCATCCAGGTTTAGTACCCAGGGTTAGTTCATCCAGGTTTAGTAACCAGGGTTAGTTCATCCAGGTTTAGTAACCATTGTTGGTTCATCCAGGTTTAGTACCCATGGTTTGTTCATCCAGGTTTATTACCCAGGGTTGGTTCATCCGGGTTTAGTACCCAGGTTTAGTAACAATGGTTAGTTCATCCAGGTTTAATACCAATGGTTAGTTCAAACAGATTTAGTACTCATGGTTAGTTCATCCAGTTTTAATACCAATGGTTAGTTCATCCAGGTTTATTAACCATGGTTAGTTTATCCAGGTTTAGTACCCATGGTTAGTTCATTCAGGTTTAATACCCATGGTTAGTTCATCGTGGTTTAGTACCCATGGTTAGTTCATCCAGGTTTAATACCCATGGTTAGTTCATCGTGGTTTAGTACCCATGGTTAGTTCATCCAGGTTTAATACCCAGGGTTAGTTAACACAGGTTTAATACCCATGGTTAGTTCATCCAGATTTAGTACCCATGGTTAGTTCATCCAGGTTTAGTACCCATGGTTAGTTCATCCAGGTTTAGTACCCATGGTTAGTTCATTCAGGTTTAATACCCATGGTTAGGTCATCCAGGTTTAATACCCAGGGTTAGTTAATACAGGTTTAATACCCAGGGGTATTAATGGGGAGGGGTTACAATATATTTTATCATTCTCTGTTTTGTATATGATACGGAAATGATCACTGATATTTTCATATTTAGAATATTGAAGCTGATGAAGAATCTGAGTCGGACGGATTGAACTATCATGTCGTGTACGATCGATGGCCATTAAATGTTACAGATCACAGGTGAAAGATCAATAGGATGATATCCATATGATTTGTTCACACATATTTTCTACGTCATTTTTACATTTTGAGATTTTGGGGAAAATGAAGTTTAAACTTTTTCTCTATTTATTACACAAAAATTAGCTTATTATTTAGCTTTAGCTTAAATAATTTATTTTCCCCAATTCATACCATAAAATATACTCCCCTGTTTCGCACATGATTCAATTTAAACCTCCTACTAAAAAAACATTGATGCAGATATCAATATTATTTATCTTTTAAGTCTTAACCTTTATTTAAAAAAATCTTTATCCAAAAAACATGGTTTAAAATAATCAATTTTTCATAGTATTTGGGATAATAAATTGATTTTTGTATAGACAAAGGTTTAAAAGGTATTATTGTAAATATGACGTGACATCTTTTTTTAAATGTAGGGTCATATAAAATTACTACACCAGTCCCTTGAAATTATCTTACTAGACTTATTTTCGGATCTCTAATGTCTGATTATTCCAAAATCTTTATGAGCACCCCCGCCCCCTGTCCCAAATATTTGTTTTCCATGTTTAAACATGGGAAAGTATGTTTTGTGTTAACCTGCAAATTTCATGTTCGAGAAAATTTAGGGAGTAAAGTAATGTAAAATTGTCTGATAAAAATTTTTATAATGATAAATTCATTTAAATTTCTTGAAATTAACTTTGCGTTTGTTTGGTTTTAGATGCAGTAACATTCATCTGCGGCCTCGTGCCCGTCAGTAGTTGAAACTGGAAGAAATTGGAGTTAATCAACGTATTCTTGTTAACTATAATATGAAGTAAGATATAAAAAAATATTTTTGTTTGCTTGTTATGTATAAAATATTTGGCTGTCTGTTTGTTTGAATTATTTCAACAAAAGTCAACACAGATGAATTAGAAAACTTTCCCTTAAAAGAACTTTTTTGCAGAGTTAAAAAATCCTCAATAAAAACGGGAAAATATGTAAAATGCAACTCGAATTGAATTTCTTCGTTCTCCCTCAGAATTGACAGACCTGCATGATATTGTTTGAAAATTGGGAATCCTTCAAAATTACTGACCTCTGAAATAATAATGATTTTTAGGGACGGAGAAAAGATTGGTGAATGGTACGAGGGGACAGTTACGGAAGTGAATGCTCAGAAGAAACTCCTCATCTGCACTCTCTATAAAGGTAAATACCTTGCGCATTTCTTCATTCTATGTGTGCGGAACGGCTCCTCGGAGTCTGTCGGGGAGCCATTGGTCCAAGTCGTCTGTAGGGAGAGACATAAAGAACAAAAGTGTATTCCATTGTATCTATTTTGTCTAAAATTTACATTATATTATAAAGCATTTCAAACTATTTGAATTATAAATTTTGATATAATTACAATAGTTACATTACTAATATATAATATGAATTCAAGGAATGCTAAATGATAATATGTTGTGAAGTAATTTTATAATGATTTCCCTGAATAAGTTAATGTATATTCCATAGTGAATGGAATCAGTAAAGGAAAAGAGCATATTTACAGCAAAAGAATATCATACATGATAGAATTCCCTTTAATATAATTACAAAATTATAGCCTTTGAACAGTTTAAATGGGTCTTATTATTTGTAAGGAATATAATACCCTCAAATCTAGCAGGACAATGCACAGGTGGGGGTATACCTGTGAATGTCTGTAAATTTTAGTTCACTAGCTTTTATATTTTTAACACTGATTCCAAATTTTGACTGAGCCGCAATTTTAAGGATAGGGTCATTCTCTACCAAGTCAGCAACCCCGTGGAACACATTGCCATTGATTTCTTATAAATGTGCACACAGCTAGCAAGTTATGAGAACATTAAATCCAAAATTTCAGGCTTCTGTGACCAAGGGTTTCTGAGATAAAGCCTCCCTAAAATTCCGGCCTCAAGGCAATTTTCGGCCTGACCTTGCATGCTTAATTGGTTGTAATGTAGTGCGTAGGATCCATTTAATTTTGATGCGAATCCGGATCTGGATCCAGGTCATTTCTTTAGGATTTACTAAATTTAAAAAAAAAATCAAATTTTTGTTTTATTTTTTTCGCATATGTTCATCCTAATACTTGATGAACCATTCAGAAATTAGGAAATTTTATAATCTCTATTATTTCAAAAGTTCAGATTTTGGTTTTAGGAGTAAAAAAGTTTTTTTACAGTTTTTGGTTGATATTTTACCCCTTGGATCCGGATCCAGGAAGCGGATCCATTGAATCCGGATCCTAAGCACTGCTTTTGATAATTAACATATCAAACTATTACTAGAAGATCAAATAATAATTTTTTTACTCATTGAATATGCTCAGAAATCGTTTTGACATATTTTTTATGATGGGTTCATCCAATTTCCCAACAATGTGAAGGTTCATTTCTGGATTTTACTTATTTTTGGAGCTAGAACTTTTAAACCATAATTTTAGTAAGTTTTTCAAAAATATTCTACTACAGTCGTTTGTACTGTTTGAAAAGTCGTTTTTGTTGTTAAAAGTTTTTTTGCAAAGCAAATTTTCGACGAATATCCCAAAATTAAGGTCTATAATAAAATCATATTAAACTCTAGGTTTTAACTCCAGGTTCAGGTTTTCTCTTTATAACTCCAGGTTCAGGTGTTCTGTTATTAAACTCCAAGATCAGGTTTTCTCATATTAAACTCCAGGTTTAGGTTTTCTCATATTAAACTCGAGGTTCATATTTTCTCTTATTATTCTCTCTCTTTCTTCTCTTATCTTTGTCTCTTTCTCTATCTTTGTCTCTCTCTCCATCTCTCTCTCCATCTCTCACTCCATCTCTCACTCCATCTCTCACTCCATCTCTCTCTCCATCTCTCTCTCCATCTCTCTCTCCATCTCTCTCTCCATCTCTCTCTCTCTCCATCTCTCTCTCTCCATCTCTCTCTCTCTCCCTGCACAAAGGGAAAACTTGGTGAGTTTTATTCGCTAAATTGCAGAAAATAAATTAATTGTTGGGCAACAAGAATGAAAAAGGATAAAAAATTACCACTGCAGCTCTGTAAGGATATATGTACTCCTTTGATTTAATAAACGAAAATATACTGTAGAATATAGAAAAAAAATTTCAAATGCTAGAAAAATAAAAAGTTGTTTAGAGAACCTTTTGTTGTAAAGTTTTCTCTGTATCCGAATTCGTCTCCAATCTAATGAATAGCAACATGTAGAAAATATTTTTTTTCCAGGACTTGAAGGGACTCCACTAGATAACCAAGTTATCAAGTATATAGAGAAGATATTCAAGCTGGAAAAGCCTGTACTAGTTCAGGATAGAACACGTCGAATTCAGAAGGTAAGTGTGGTTCACTGTAGTGTAGTGAACTGTATAGTTTAGGACAAAACACTTAAAATACAGTTAGTTTGCATGGTTTATTGTAGAGTAGTAGAGAAACCTTTCTGGTACAAAAGTCCTTGGGTATATTTTTTGGAATTCAGTGGTAATTATCTGACTTAAAGTTGACTGTTCCAAAATATCCTTGACACATTTCTAAGGGCGGGGTTTGGACCATAATTTTACAGCTTGATTTTAGTTATGTTCAGAATTTTATTTTAAGGAATTGGACAGGTTTGTTCCCCGTAAACACGCTGGCGAGTTTGAAGATTGTGATGTTCAGAAGATAAAGGACAAGGTAAAATACAAGGATTTATGTTTGAAAAATTATTCTCTGATCTATGAGAAAGAAGAAAAAAAATGGGCTGGTGAGGGGGATTTTAAAGTGTTGGTTACTCATAAAGAATATCAATATGATGCATAGTTAATCCTATTTCATTCTAGTTCTATTCTATCCCAGATTATCATAGTTCATCATAGTTTGTCCTATTCCATATTAGCCCATCCTCAGCCGATTCTAGTTCATTCTATCCCAGATTATCATAGTTTGTCCTATTCCATATTAGCCCATCCTTAGCCGATTCTAGTTCATTCTATCCCAGATTATCATAGTTTGTCCTATTCCATATTAGCCCATCCTTAGCCGATTCTAGTTCATTCTATCCCAGATTATCATAGTTTGTCCTATTCCATATTAGCCCATCCTTAGCCGATTCTAGTTCATTCTGGCTTTTCCTTAGTCCTATCCTAGCTCTTCTTAGTTCATTCTAGTTTAGTTCATCTTAGCTTATCCTAGCCATCCTAGCTCGTTCTAGCTCATTCTAGCTCTATTCTAATAATCCCAGATTATCATAGTTTGTCCTATTCCATATTAGCCCATCCTTGGCCGATTCTAGTTCATTCTGGCTCATCCTTAGTCCTATCCTAGCTCATCTTAGTTCATTCTAGTTTAGTTCATGTAGGGATTTTTTAAAAATGTACGGATTTTTTCAAAAAAAATGTACGGATTCTACAGTTTTTGTTTTCGAAAATTGTACGGATTGTACGGATTTTTTCTAATACTATACTCCAGGTATCTATGTATACTTGCCTTTTTATGTCTCTTTTTTCATAGCTTTTAAAAATATACACCCCTGCAATTTGGATAATCCAACCTTTCTGTTCCAGGCGGATGAACCCTGTTTCTCCAGTAAAAGCAGATAATGCTCTGAAGAACCCTTTGTCTCCAGTAAAAGCATATGATCCTCTGAAGAACCATGTTTCTCTAGTAAAAGCAGATGATCCTCTGAAGAACCCTTTGTCTCCAATAAAAGCAGATGATTCTCTGAAGAACCATGTTTCTCCAGTAAAAGCAGATGATCCTCTGAAGAACCCTTTGTCTCCAGTAAAAGCAGATGATGCTCTGAAGAACCATGTTTCTCCAGAAAAAGCAGATGATCCTCTGAAGAACCATGTGTTTCCAGTAAAAGCAGATGGTCCTCTGAAGAACACTGTTTCTCCAGTAAAAGCAGAAGATCCTCTGAAGAACCCTGTTTCTCCAGTAAAAGCAGATGATGCTCTGAAGAACCCTGTTTCTCCAGTAAAAGCAGATGATGCTCTGAAGAACCCTGTGTCTCCAGTATGAGCAGATGATGCTGTAAAGAACCCTGTTTCTCCAGTAAAAGCAAATGATGCTGTGAAGAACCCTTTTTCTCCAGTAAAAGCAGATAATCCTCTGAAAAACCCTGTTTCTCCAGTAAAAGCAGATGATGCTGTGAAGAACCCTGTAAGTCCAGTAAAAGCAGATGACCCTCTGAAGAACCCTGTTTCTCCTGTAAAAGCAGATGATGCTGTGAAGAACCCTGTGTCTCCAGTAAAAGCAGATGATCCTCTGAAGAACCCTGTTTCTCCAGTAAAAGCAGATGATGCTCTGAAGAACCATGTTTCTCCAGTAAAAGCAGATGATCCTCTGAAGAACCATGTGTTTCCAGTAAAAGCAGATGATCCTCTAAAGAACACTGTTTCTCCAGTAAAAGCAGATGATCCTCTGAAGAACCCTGTTTCTTAAGTAAAAGCAGATGATGCTCTGAAGAACCCTGTTTCTCCAGTAAAAGCAGATGATCCTCTGAATAACCCTGTGTCTCCAGTATGAGCAGATGATGCTGTGAAGAACCCTGTTTCTCCAGTAAAAGCAGATGATGCTCTGAAGAACCCTGTTTCTCCAGTGAAAGCAGATGATCCTCTGAAGAACCCTGTTTCTCCAGTAAAAGCAAATGATCCTCTTAAGAACCCTGTTTCTCCAGTAAAAGCAGATGATCCTCTGAAGAACCCTGTTTCTCCAGTAAAAGCAGATGATGCTCTGAAGAACCCTTTGTTTCCAGTAAAAGCATATGATCCTCTGAAGAACCATGTTTCTCCAGTAAAAGCAGATGATCCTCTGAAGAACCCTGTTTCTCCAGTAAAAGCAGATGATCCTCTGAAGAACCATGTTTCTCCAGTAAAAGCAGATGATGCTTTGAAGAACCCTGTTTCTCCAGTAAAAGCAGATGATCCTCTGAAGAACCCTGTTTCTCCAGTAAAAGCAGATGATGCTGTGAAGAACCCTGTTTCTCCAGTAAAAGCAGATGATGCTGTGAAGAACCTTGTTTCTCCAGTAAAAGCAGATGATGCTGTGAAGAACCCTGTTTCTCCAGTAAAAGCAGATGATGCTGTGAAGAACCCTTTTTCTCCAGTAAAAGCAGATGATGCTGTGAAGAACCCTGTAAGTCCAGTAAAAGCAGATGACCCTCTGAAGAACCCTGTTTCTCCTGTAAAACCAGATGATGCTGTGAAGAACCCTGTGTCTCCAGTAAAAGCAGATGATCCTCTGAAGAACCCTGTTTCTCCAGTAAAAGCAGATGATCCTCTGAAGAACTCTGTTTCTCCAGTAAAAGCAGATGTTCCTCTGAATAACTCTGTGTCTCCAGTAAAAGCAGATCATCCTCTGAAGAACCCTGATTCTCCAGTAAAAGCAGATGATGCTCTGAATCCATGAAATTGTCACACATGTAATGAGTTGCATCTGACAAATGGCTAAGAAATTATTAAATTTACAAAATATAAAAATTATATTTTAATTAAATTTGCATTTTTACATAAAGAAAAACATACTTTGAAGAAATTTTTGTTGCAGTATTCTTATTTTTTCATTTAATATTCTACGTTCTTTTAAAATATTAAGTTTTATAAATAAAAATACGGGTTTCTACTAAATGACATAAAAGAAGATTTCTTTGTGAGTAATTAAATTTGCATGCATTGCATAAAAAAAAACCATGATTTTTAAGAAGAAAAAAATGTTGCAGGAATGTTTTTCTTTGTCATATGTAATGTCGCACATGTCTTAATTTACATCTGTCAAACTTCTAAGAAATTATGAAATTCACAAATAAAATTGGGATTACTTTTAATTAAATTTGCTTTCCATACATCAAATTTTTTTAAACGAAATTTTTTTTTTATGTCAAATGTTTCGCTCATAAAATTGTCGCAAAGGGGAGGGGCCACAAAACGTATTACTCTTAATTGGGCATGAGGAATTCATTTCTGAGGTCAAAATGAATATTCGAGCATTCTGACCGGCGTGATAGTAGCCGGCAGTTACATTATGGGTCATCTTCCCACATATTTACTTGTGTATGTCGATTTAAAGGTTATTGGGCACGAGGAATTCACTTCTGAGTTCAAATTTAATATTGGAGCATAATGATCGGCGTGCTAGTAGCCAACCATTACATTATGGGTCATCTTAATTGAACCCATAATTATCCTTCGGCCAGCAGCGCGCCGATCAGAGTCCTGATACTTAATTTATTTACCTAAGAAAGAGAATCGTTGTTTCTAGTACCCCAGAATGGACATACTACATGCAAAACATATGACAGGATGACCCAAAAGGTGACTGCTGGCTGCTAGCATGTCGGTCAGAGTAGTCTTACAAAAGTTTTTATTAGGAAATTTATCCTTGTGCCCAATTACCTATAAATTGACATATAACATGTAAAATATGTGGGAAGATGACCCATAACGTAACTGCTGGCTTCTAGCACGCCGGTCAGAATGCTCGAATATTCATTTTGACCTCAGAAATGAATTCCTCATGTCCAATTACCTATAAATCGACATACAACGTGTACAAAATGTACCAAGATGACCCATAATGTAATGGTGGCTACTAGTGCGCCGGTCAGAATGCTCCAATATTAAATTAGACCTCAGAAATGAATTCCTCGTGACCAATAACCTATAAATCAACATACAACATGTATATATGTAGAAAGATGACCCATAAGGTAACTGGCGGCTACTAGCGCGCTGATCAGATAGCTCGAATATTTATTTTGACCTCGGAAATGAATTTCTCGTGCCAACTTACCTATAAATCGACATACAACATGTAAAAAATGTACTATGATGACCCATAATGTAATGGTTGGCTACTAGCACGCTGGTCAGAGTGCTCCAATGTCTATTTTGACCTCGGAAATGAATTCCTTGTCCCAATTTTGCTATAGTTTGATGAATCGCATGCAACCGTTATTCTAACTTAGCAAATAAGTATTCAAAGATGTTTTCTTTTATTACGCGAGCGCGCGGACATTTAAGCCTTTGGAGGTGAATTTTTTATCGAATATTTTTTAAGAGTGCCAGGAAAAATGTTTAAGTGCAATTAATGAAGTTAACTTTTGCTCATATTCCTTCAAAACCAAAAAATGCATGTAATATGCATAATTCTGAGTTTGCATGCAAAAAATCAGCCTCCTACGACAATTCTAAGGTATGTTTAAACACTGTATAAATTTCCGGAGAGTAATACGTTTTGTGTAAAAATTCGCATCTGTGAAATGCCAAAGAAATTTTAAAAATTTACAGAAAAATCCGACACTATTTTTAAATCAAATTTGCATTTGATGCATGAATAAGAATATAATTTTGAAGAAATAGTTTTGCTGAAATTTTGGGTTTTTTTAATTAATATCCAAATGTGTTTTATTTTAAGTTTTGCATTGAAATGAAAATTTTCTACTGAATTAATGACAAAAAAGTAGATTTCCTTCTGAATAATTAAATATAAAGTAAATCAAGATTTTGAAGAGAGAAAAAAAATTATTGTAGTCGTCAAATGTCTCCTCTATAAAACTGTCGCAATTGTCTTAAGTTGCATCTGACAAATGTCTTTGAAACTAGGAAATTAAAAAAAAATCCAAAAACATAATTTGAAAAAAAATTTAGCGGGAATTTTTATTTTTCTTATTTAATATTTGAAATATTTTCATTCAAAAGCAAAACTTAAATATTAAATTTGAAATAAAATTATTGCTAAATCATTTTTTCAAAATTATGTCTTTCTTTTTGTATAAAATGTAAATTTAATTAAAATTAATTTCGATTTTTTTTGTAAATTTTATATTTTTTAGACATTTGACAGATGTTCCATGACATTTGCAAGAATTTTATCAAAACAATTTTTTCATTCCACAAAATTATGATAATCTTTAGGTTTGGAATGCAAATTTTATAAAAAAAATCATACCGAATATGACATTAGATAGATACATGATAAGAAGCATGCAACATATGACATGAAAAAACACTCAAAAAAATTTTCTTCAAAATTATGATTTACTTTTTATTTGCCATGTAAATTTGATTATTTACATTACAAACCTTTTTTTTTAAATTCAATAGGATCTTCCTTCAAGTAAAAAAACTTGAAAAACAACAATTTCAAATATTAAATAAAAAAAAGAAAATTTTCACAAAATTTTCTTTGTTTTTTATGTTTGGAATGCAAAATTAATTGAAAAAAATAAATTGTGACAAAAAACATTCTTCAAATTTTTCTTCAAAATTATGATTTTCTTTAGGTTTGGAATGCTGTCAAACGTCTAATAGATTATGGAATTCATAATCTATTAGACGTTTGACAGACATGACATTTGCGACAATTTTCTGCATTAGACATTTGACAAGTAAACAATTTTAAAATATGACATTTAACAGAAACGACATATGACAAAAAAACATAGTCGTTAAAATTTTTATTTTTTTTTTTAAATTAAGAGATAAAATTAATTTTTTTTCAAAACTTTGATTTTCTTAATGTGTGGAATGCGACAGATGACAAAAAGAACATTTTCATTAAAATTTTAATATAAGGAATGCAAATTAACTATTCACAAGTGATTCTTCTCTTTTTTAATTAATTCCGTAGAAAATAGTATCAAAATTCAAGTAAAAAACTTTATATAAAACACCTTAGCATATTTCTTTCAAATTATGATTGCTGTTTGGAATAAAAATTTATTTATTTCTATAAAAAACTTCTTAGTTTTCAACAGAAAATCGTAGTAAAACTTGAAAACTTGACAAGCAACACCTTAAAATGTTAAATTAAAAAATTAAAAATTCTCGGCAAACACCTTAAGATATTGAATTACGAAATAAAAATTCCCACAAAAAAATCTTCAAAATTATGTTTTTCTAATGTATAAAATGTAAATTCAATTAGTAAATGATTTGGATTTTTTTGCAAATACCAAAATTTCTTATACTTAATTTCTTAGACAGATGGATGCATGATATATGACATTTGATAAGTAAAAAAATTCACAGATAGGACGTTTGACAGATTTTTTCTTCAAAATTATGATTTTCTTAATGTATGGAATGCAAATTTTATTACTCACAAGTAAATTTTCTTTTTTGTCAATAATTCAGTAGAAAATTGTAACTTTATTGAAGTGAAGAAAACAAAAATTTCTTAAAATTTATGTTTTTTTACGTATATAAAGTGCAAATTTAATTTAAAAATAATTTCGATTTTTTGTGAATTTATAATTTCTTAAACATTTGACAGATTTTACTTATGACTTTTGAGACAATTTTATTGTTGGGACTTTTCACAACTAAAACATATTTTATTATTCATTAAAAATTTTTCATAATTATGTTTTTCCTTATGTATAAAATGCAAATTTAATTGAAAAAATATTTAAAATTTGCTAGCAAAATTCACAATTTCTTAGTTTTTGGCAGATGCAACTTATGATATTTGTGACAATTTTATTAATGGGACATTGGACAAGTAAAACCATTTTTTTCTTACTTCAAAATCTTGTATTTCTTTACGTTTGGAATACACATTTTATTATTAGCAAGGAAATCTTTTTTTGACATTTATTCAGTAGAAAATCGTATCTCCATTCAAATTCCAATTTTTTGATAAATTTCATAATTTCTGAGACATACGAAAAATTTGTCTTATGAAATTTTTATCGATGAGATATTTAAAAGTAAAACAATTTATGGATATGACATTTTACAGATGAGAAATATGAAGCATGTCATGTATGACAAAAAAACATTCCTGTTAAAAAATTTGTCTTCGAAATTATGATTTTCTTTATGCATGGAATGCAAATTTAATCATTCACAAGGAAATATGCCTTTTTGTTATTTATTCAGAAGAAAATTGTATTTTCATTCAAGTGAAAATCTTAACATAAAACACCAAAGGATACTAAACTAAAAAATAAAAATAATTTTCTACAAAATTATGTATAAAATGGAAATTTAACAAATAATAAATTTCACTTTTTTTGTAAATTATATAATTTCTGAGACATGTGAAAGATGCAAAATATGATATTTGCGACAATTTTTTAGATGAGACATTTTTTATTCACAAGAAAAATTTCTTATGTTTTATTAATTCAGTAGAAAATCGTATCTTCTTTCAAATTTTAAATTATGAAATACAAATTTCTGCCAAATTTTGTTTTCAAAATTATGTTTTTCTTGATATTTGGAATGAAAATTTAAAAAAAATTTTTTGTGAATTACATAATTTCACAGATGCGACATATAAGCTTATATAACATAAAAAAACTCCTGAAATAAAAGGATTTTCTTTTTGTATGGAATGCAAATTAGATTTTTCACAAGAAAACTTCTTTTAAAATTTCCAAAAAATCGAAATCATTTTTTTTAATA